ATGTTTTATGCATTGTAGGAGTGATTCTGAGCTATGTAGATGTTATAGAATGAATTTGAATGATTTGGAGCTTGAAGTCTGAGTAAAAGCCCAGGGATTAAGCCGGGATCGTGTTCGGGGGTCGAGGAAGTCTGGACGTCAAAACGCAAGAAAAAACCGTACTCTGAGAAATCCCCATTGCCACGGCACGTGGGGTGTCGCGCTTGTGCATTTCTCTGCTGCCTGTCAGAACCAACTCTCTGGATTTTTTCACTAATACCTCGCATGGCGTGTCGCCCCATACGGCACGCCTGTGTATTTTTTACATAGTAATTTTCCTATTTCGGCTAGGAGAAGATGATTTCGTCTGGGCCCGATCCTACTTGGTACAAATACATGGAAAACCATTCTTTTCTGGAATTTTGACACATATTCGACCTAAGGAAGCTAAGGAGGAGTTGGAGGAGGAAAAGCACAAGGAGTTCATCATTCAATCCTCATTCAAGACCGAGTTTAGATCGTTTTATGTTTTCCTTTACTTTAAACATATTTGTGATGAATTGCTCCATATCTATGGAGTAGTTCCCTTTAAGGTTTTATGGATTGGGGGTATTGATGATTGTTTGTGGATTATAACTCTAGTTTTATGTATTGAAGCGTTTTTGGATGATTTCATTGTGGCATCTATATTCACTTGTTCATGTAATCGAGAGAGGAATAACTTGTGATGTCTTTGCATTATATTGTTGGTTGAATTCATTAATTCATCTTAGTAATCGAAAGAGGTTGAATCATTGATTAAACCTAGTTAGGAGGATAATCGAGAGAGATTCTCCTAAAGACCAATCCACTACGCATTCTTTCATATCTTTGCTTAAATTGATTCATCTTGTGAGGTTAAGACTTAATCGAGAAAGGAGTTTTTGCTGAACGTTTGAACTATTAATTGAGTGAATTCGAGAGACTCACCTAAACATTAGAAGTGAATTATCTAGAGTTAGATCCCAAACAATTATCTTGCACCTATCCTATCAAAACTCTATCTTCTCTCATTGATAACCTTCTTTGTTTATTCCTTGTTTCGATATTCATTAGTCAATAGTTTTAGATTCTTAGTTAATTTTAGTTATTAATCATATAAATCTCGATTGTTGATTCGCATGGATAGTAATCAAGTTAGAAACTACGAAAATACTGTTTAACTCCAATCCTTGTGTCTACGATATTGTACTATACGATCTTTGACTAGCGAGCATACATTACTAGAAATCTGGTAAAAACCGACCAAAAAAACCGACCAACGTTGGTCGGTAATGGCCAAAAACCAACCAAAACGCGACCATTTACGTGTGGACGGTATTTTTGTGGTCGGAAAGGAATACCGACCAAAGTTGGTCGAAAATTACCGACCAACTTTGGTCGGTCAATTAAATTCAAAAAAAAAAAAAATATTGCAAAAAAAAACCGACCAAAGTTGGTCGGTATTTTAATTATGTAAAAAAAAGATACACCATCTGGTAATCGAACCGGGGTCTGTATTGTGGCAGGATACTATTCTACCACTAGATCATTGGTACATTTTGTTTTAAGACTGTCTTTTATTTGATTTATACTCTTTAATTGTATTTTCGCACGAAAATAACCGACCAAAGTTGGTCGGTTTTATTAAAAAGTAAAATTACCGACCAAAGTTGGTCGGTTTTTTTAAATGACCCGCCGAATTAACCGACCAATTTTGGTCGGTTTTTTTAATATTAATTTTTATTTATATTAATTGAAAAATCGACCAAAGTTGGTCGGTTTCTTGAAACATAAAATTCGCGGGACTCAAAAATAGTTTCCCGCATTTTTGCGCCAAAGAAAACCGACCAAAGTTGGTCGGTTTCGTAAAAAAAAAAAATATTTTGAAAAACCGACCAACTTTGATCGGTTTTTTTACCGACCAAAGTTGGTCGGTCGACCTTGATCGGATTTTGCCGAATTTCTAGTAGTGATAATTTAAGTGGTGTTCCGAGCTCGTCATTCAACTATGCATTCTAATAGCAAAGTGCTACATATCCATATATGTCTAACAGAATTACTATAGCCACTATAGAAGGTCATTTAAAAGTTGCAATTTCCAGTATCAGAAAAATATTGATAGTTCATAACTCGAATTATTTTTTGTTTTATCTTTTTCAAATCATAACTCTAATTCTTACGCTTTCATATATGATCTATTATCTGTTGGCCTGAAGTGTGTAATCTAAATTGTTACGGGAAAAGGTTTGAACATAGAAATAAAATAAATGAGTTTAATTTCCTAACCAGCTTGGTGTCTGAAAAAAATGCGCAGACACAGTTTTCACAATTTGAACAAACTTAGAAAATTAAAAAAAAAACGAACTAAAGTGACTAAGAGCCCGTTGGGCCAAGTTATCAAAAATCGCTTATTTTAAAAAGTGCTTTTTGAAAAAGGACTTTTGCAAAATAGTAGTTTGTGTTTGGTCAATTCATTTGAGTAGTGTTTTTTTTTTTTTTTGTAACCTCTTTGTGTTTGGTCAATTTTTTTTCAAAAAGAACTTTTAAGTATCAAATTACGAAAAAGGACAGTAAAAATTCAGTTTGCAATTAATATTATTTAAAAAAATTGAATATTTATTGTAAAAATAATTCAACTAAAATATAAAACATAAAAAAAATTTTAAATTAAATCCAATCAATATAAAAGATAGTTATTCCAAACCAATATCATTCAATATTTGGTATTACTTCTTGTTTACATTATAATTTAAATATATCAAAATACATCATTCAATATAAATTTTAAATCTACTTTTAGTAATAGGAGAAAGGGATAAAAATATGATTGAAATAAAAAAGAGAAAAAAAGGTATAGTAGAAATAAAAAGGAAAAGAAAAATATTAAATTAATGAGGGATAATTTGGAAAATAGAAATTTATAGTAAGGTTATTTTTGTCTTGAATAAATTAATTTTCTGCTTCTTTGAAGAAGCTAGAATTTGTTGTTTCTCCCCAAAAGTAAGAAAACTGCTTCTGCTTCTCAAAAATACTTTTTTATCTTGGCCAAAAACCTTAAATTTTACGAAAAGTATTTTTTTGTCAAAAAAAAAAATATTTTTTGCCTTCTAAAAACTTGGTCAAGCAGGGCTCTAACTCTCTTTTCTTTTCTTTTCTTTAATTATATCATAAAAGGTCAGTATATGCATCTCACAAATTTGTGAAAACTTAGAGATGTGTATTCTGTATATGTTATTCGTAGTATTCCAATTTTCCCAGAGACGGATGCAATTAATAGGTAACGTGTTTTACTAAACTCAGTATTTTCAATATGGATTGAGCATAAATTTATGTATAAAAATTCACTAAAATTGTAAAAGTAATAGATATGAACTCATAACTTTAAATATACAGTGAGTTCAATAATAAAAATCTTAAAATTATTGAACCCACAAATTTAAAATCTTGAATCCGTACCTCAATTTTCCACTTCTTTAAATTTTAATTTTCCTTTTTGATCAATTTGGTTTATTTTACTCTAGGAATTTTGTAATGGATAAGGTCGGCCTTCTAACTTTCACCGACAAGATTTGACTCCGGTGGCTAAATTCACATTAACAACGTATGCGTCACTACTTCCATGGTTTGAGGAATACGGGGACCATTCAAACGTTGTTGCTGGTTCTTTTATTCTACTTTCTTATTTTGGATTTTTACTACAAAAGTATATCTTGTTGGAGAAAGTTTGGTGAGGGTAGCATCTAATCTCCACGCTGCCATGCAAAAAAAAAAGGAAAAAAGAAAAAGAACCAAGGAATAATACTAGGTCGCAATTTAGGGGTGGTAAACGGGTAGATCGGATCAGAAATGGGCGGGTCGAAAATAGGTAATACAAAAGCGGATAAATTATCCAATCCAACCCATGTTTAATACGGATAAAAAACGGGTTAACCGTCGGATAATATGGATATTCATATTATCCATGACTTATTGAATATGATCACTTTTGGTAGAATTTCTAGTCTCCCAAACTTGAGGAACTCCAAATTTGAGGCATTACAAATGTAAAAGTTAATTAAACTCATTAATTAGTTGTCCATTGGTTGTCCATTTTTTAAGTAGATAATATGGTTCTTATCCATATTTGATCCGTTTTTTAAAAATTTATTATCCAACCCATTTTTAACGAATAATATGAATGAATAACTATTTTCTTTTAACCATTTTGCCACCACCAGGTCACTTGATGAATTTATCACCATTTGTTCACCATAGACCGTCTATTAAACAATCTATTCCGAGGTTAGTTATGTATCACGAAAATTTATTCCCATTGGGTTTTTATACCAACTCATTGAATATATGAGGCATACTTTCAAATACACTATTATGATTATCAAAGCAATAGTTAAGTAATAGATGTATACATACCTTAATTTTTAAGTTGATCAAGGTAATTAATTAGCACAGTTTGGTGTAAACATCATTAAACATACTAATTGCTCAACTTCAAGTCTTCAATTAGCTAGTTACACAAACATATAAGATTTATATCTAGCATTTCTCCTATACTATATATGAATTAATTCAATAGAAGGTTCGAATGATCACATGTACAACCGTTGTGAGAACCAATATGTTTTTAAACTTCTAATATTTGAAAAATAAAATTGAAATTCCTCTTATTGACCGATCATAACACTCTTCAAATGGAAAAATGATATTGTATAGTCGCTCTCAAAATAATAGCGAAAATATATATTATATATTTTGTATATATATACATTATGTATGTTAAATACAAAAATTATATAAATTTCATACACTTATTCGGCTACCGAATAAATAATTTCTAACGCGGGCTATAGGTGAAAAAAGCCCTTTCAAAATCGAAATTTTTTATCTCACCGTTTTCTTAGCGACAATGTTTCCCGACAGATGACGACGTTTGTTTTATGAGTTCCCCCAATGTTAAAAGAAGACAAATATGTCCGAATTAGAGCATTAAGGTATAATATATTTTATACATATATAGTCGATTTCTCCTTAATAAAATACACTTCTGATAGTTTCTTCAGAATCCTATAATATCCAGGACTCGCCAACTAGGCCAAACCTATTAGGAGTAGATGTATTAGAAGGGAAAAACTAAATACAAGAAATTAAGACAAGTATACTAATATTAATATAGCTACATAATGGAGCAAGCATTAGGATTTTCATCACTAAACATGAGAGTATACTGTTCTTCGACTGGATTTAAGTGAGCAATAGCTGGATCATTAGTAGCTCTAACTAAATTGGGAGGTGCCTTCTTGTCATAAACTCCTGCTACATAAGGATGTGCCACCAGACTATATGGCACATATGGCCACAACTCACACTTCTTTCCAGTAGCTTGTGCTGCCTTCAACACTTTCTTAGGTTCCACAAATCCTGTTACTGTTGCTTTCTGTTGCTTTAAATCCACATCCACTGATTTTGCGCCTATCCATGTTAATAAAACCACATTAATTAATTTATATCTTTTAAAAGAATTAGAAACAATATAATAGATAAGTACATATCATCTTGATTTGAGACTTTCAGAAAAATTGATAACCTTTATATTTTCTATAGGACAAAGTTATATACAAGGATAACATAAAGATCTATTTACTCTGTCAGTAAATTATAATATTATGTGATAGCAGAGTAGTTATTATAATTCTTTTCTCTGCATTTAGTCAAACTCCATTCATATAAAATAAAATAGCTAGAGAGACGATAGAAGTAGATAAAGAAATTCTTTAGAAATTTGCAGTACCTTTGACTCGGGAGAGAACGTTCTTGACTTTACGAGCACAACCTTCACAGTCCATTCTAACCTTGACAGCAACAGTAGTGATTTGCTTCTTTTTCTTGTGTTTCTTAACGCTGCTAAGTACTTCAGATAAGTATTCCAACGTCCCTGCAACTCCCATTTTGGCCTCAGAAGAAATTAAATTAACTAAGAAAAGATGTGTAAACTGGGAAAGGATAAAGCTATAAAGTTTATATCTTTCAGGTGGATTGCAAGAAAAGAGGATACACTAATTATTTTGTTTGAGAAGTATATGAAGAGAAGACAAGGTGACAGGTGACAAGATGAAAGAGCGTTTAGTTCTTTGTCTTTAAATGTTGGTGAATGATTTGGAAGTTGAAACCGGTCACAAGTTATATATATAGATAGAGTATGGGGAAATTAAAGAATAATCAAGAAATAAAAAATAAAAAAAAAAGTGGTGTAATATATATTGCTAACAAATTATTTGTAGGAGTGGGGTCACCTAGAAACTGCAAGAAACTTCTGTTTTTCACTTAAAAGGATATTGTTTATAGACCACAAATGTACTTTTTATGGGTGGCCTCTTAATCAGTGTAAGATCTTGTTACTTGATTTCATGAATGACAACATTATTTAATAAATACTCCCCCCTATGATGGGGTAATCCTTGGTTGAAAATTGAAACATGTACTCCTCAGGCTTTCATCCCATGCATTTTGATTAGTACAGAATTAAGACAAAAAGAATTTATTTTTAAATTATCATGCTAAATAATCTTATAAATATTTGTATAGTTATAAATTATCATAATAATAATAAAATAAAAATTCAAAATTAAATTAGTTTTTGAAATAGAAAATTTTTATTCTTTTTTGGACGGAATAAAAAAAATACATCATATAAATTGAGAGAGAGTATATAATAGGAGCAGTCAATTTGTTGCTAAAGATGTAGAAAGAACAGTTACCATGCCATGGGAACAATTTATTTCAATGAAATATTTTTGTCTCATTAATTTTATAGGATGCTACTATTATTTTCGAATTAAATTATCTTTATTTGGATTACGATTCCTTTAAACACTTTTTTGAAATATTTTTAGTTACAGAATGTTATGAATCTTCAGATAAACTTTATTTCACAAATTAAGAAATATCTGAATTTACACTAGAAATTAAACGTTTGGATTATCATACTGCAAATACATTATTCTTTCGGACGGAAGACAAACCATATATTTTTTTTCTAGATTTTGAAAAGGCACGAGTACAAGAATACTTAACTTTTACCAATAATTATTTATATCACTGGACTTTAGTAGTTAATCCTCTTTAGAAGTGTACCTAGAGACCTTTGCATACATCATCGTACCAAAATGGTTTATTTTGTAATCAGATCTTGTCTCAATAAAGAAAAGAGAATTTATAACTTGGGTTACACGAAAAGTGAAAGAATACAGTAAACTTTTGAGATTCATGCTTATTATAGATGGGGACCTCTCCAAAGTTTGAAGTTTGAACCAAAATGCTTATGTCATTGTTGTCCTGGATTTTGATAGCTGCCACGCTGGAAGAGATGTTAGTGACACGTGGTAACAAGTGATATCTTAGGGTGTAGATATTACTAAAGAAATAAATGGGAGTGGAGCTGGTAGTTTAGGCAATTTGTCATTATATTGAATTGTTTGATTGATTTTTGGAATAAGACTGGACGGTGGTGCGGTAGAAAATAAAGAGACTTGTAAAGAGCAATAGATAACGTAAAAATAGTGCGGGTTAGCTATTTTTCGGACTGATAATTGAAAAATAGTCAGTGTTTGTAAAGTCATTAAAAAATAGTCACTATTTTGCTGCAACACAAAAAATTCCATCATTATATACTGGAGATTGGTGCACATGTGTATGAACATTCAGCATATTATGCTGGAACTCCAGCACACGAAAAGTTCCAGCATAATATACTGGAGATTGGAGCACCTTTGTATGAACTTCTAGCATATTATACTGGACCAGTATTTTATGCTGGAACTCCAGCACACGAAAAGTTCCAGCATAATATACTGGAGATTGGAGCACCTTTGTATGAACTTCTAGCATATTATACTGGACCAGTATTTTATGCTGGAACTCCAGTATATTATGATGGAGTTCTAGCATAAATATATTGGAACTCCATCATAAAAAGTCAAACCTTAGTCAATTCTTCCAATTTAAAGCTTTCGAAATTAAAATTTTCTTTCCAAATCAACTCCGAGCTTCCCGAAATTCAATTCCGACCATGCGTACAAGTCGTAGCACCTGAAGTGAAGCTACCCAATGCCTCAAACCATTGAACGATACACTAGATCTCAAAATGACATGTTGGGTCGTTACACGTTTTGTGGAAAACTAATGGTTTGGGAGGTGATTTATGTCAAGTACTACCAGTATTTCCAAAATTGACAAAATCATAGACTGTAAAAGCTAGCTTGCCAAAGTTATACTTCTGGACTCAAATGAAAAAGATTCAACTGACAATAAATATTCAATGTCTTCTTACTTCGTGTCAGAAACGAAGAAGAGCATCCAATTATGCTGGAAGTTCACATGTAAAAAATTCAAACTCCAGTATATTATGTTGGAATATTTTTCGGATTTTGAACAGTGTTTTCATTCAGATTTATCTTTACATGAAAAGTGGCTAAATTTCGATTACTTTTGAAACTGTGGCTATTTTTCAATTAACACTTGTAAATTTGACTATTTTTGAATTTCATGCCACAAATTGGTAGTGGATGAAAATTACTTGTAACCAACAAAACAATTATATATTAAATAATGGGTTAGTTTGGTAATATCACGAGAAATGGGTATAAGTCCCAAGATACGGGTGTAAATCCCACGATTAAGCTGAGAACAAGCAAATAAATAACACAATCTAACATTGACTAAGCATACAAGTTTAAGACAAAACGGAGTAATAAATTTAAATTTTTTAGTGACTAGGCATTTCTGCGTGTTTCATATCTAGACAACCTTAAAATTGTTTAATTTTAGGAAACCTACCACAGCTTCCCCACTGTTTAAGGAACATAAGAAGAAGAATTAATTGACTGACCGTTAATAACGTATAGCTTTCTTGCTGGGCTTGACCAACGACTAGAAAAAGGACAGCTTGATCTTCAAATATTGACAAGAAACGGCACCGCCCAAGGAAGATAACATTTTTATTGACATTAAACTTTCTGGGACAAAAAGTGGATAATATTACTTAGTCTTTTTTCAATTTTTTTTTTCTTTTTTGAATGCAGAGAAAATGGAAGAAGAAGGAAAAGATGTCGAATTGAGTTGCAATCCCAATCTGCAATAACATGTAGAAGTAATTAATTACTACTTCTAATTAGAGGGTGACTTGTCTAATGCTTTATACCGCCGAGAATCTATCGGAAACAACCTCTCTACCTCTCTAGATAGGGATAAGGTCTGCGTATACACTATCCTCCTCAGATCCACATATGGAATTATACTGGATTTATTGTTGTTGTCGTCTAATGCTTTATACCCTCTTGTCCCGTTTTGATTTAGCACTATTTGAAATAGATATGGATGTAAGATAGTAAGTAAACTTGCTTATTCTATTATTAGTAATGAAATAAAGATTGAAGCAATAAAAAGTTAATTTGACAGAAAAAATAGCACAACGAAATATAGCAATTTATATTGTTAGACTTGATTAGGAACGAAGATATTCGTGACAAGGTGTGGGAGCAGTGGAGATCGAGAATTAGGGCTTTAAGTTAAGAGGCCAGCGTTCTTTTTTTCAGTCCTGTAGTAGTAGTAGTATCGTAGTTTTATGTCTTAGATTTTTATTACTATTCGCTGTTTCTTTTGTTTTGGTTTTCCTATTATCTCGATTGTTGCTACTGCTTCTCTTTTCGTGGCTTCTTTATTATTGTATTTCTTTTTATTACTACAAGATTTTTTTATTTTTTTGAGCCGAAGGTCTATCGAAAACAGTCTATCTACCTTCATAAGATAGGATTAAAGTCTGTGTACTTATAAAACTACATTGGGATTGTTTTTATTGTTGTTGTAGATTTGAAAGTTGTGACTGTAACATAAAATAGAATTATATATTAGTAAAGTAGGGTATTTTTCTAAATAGGACAAAAGTCATATACGAATTAAAATGCATGTAGGGGTAATCACTAATCACTCGTACGTGGTGTTAGAAAAATTAGCACCATTAATGCCACATTCCACGACACTATCCTAAAGTCATTTTCATGTGGCACTGAAATAGTAGAATTATTTGTCCTCCTGACCCCAGGATAATAGTGGTGTTTCCTATTGATTATTAAGTTTGCTCATTTGTCATTTGTCATTCCTAGTTGGGAATGTCACGAGTTCGAGCAGTAAAATCGGTCACTAATGATTATATATATATAAACTATCTACATCACATCTCTAAGGATATGATATTTCTTTAAACTCTGCGTGAGCATGAGATGTTTTGTACGCCTGCCTGACTAACAAAACATATTTATCTGTACATGTAAATCTGAATCTTGAATTCTATTTCTTGAATATATCTGAATTGTAACAAACCGAATCCAATCATTCACACTGATAATTAATTGAAAAAGCTTAGTCAAACTTGAAAAAAACAACCTACACTAATACACCTATTACATAGTGTAATATACTGATAAGACCAACCAAATTTTGTGAAGGAGATTAGAATCGTAACCTAATTATCTTCACTCAACTCTACATTAATTCGGAGCAAATTATCCACCCTACCATGCACTACGTAAGAACAACCTTCTAGTTCTACCAAAGGTCATTCATTCTTTAATTTCTTTCAAACTTTTTGAAAACCAAAAACTCCCATCCCGACAAGCCTAGAAATATGCAACATACTTACAAATGGTAGGGGAATGGGAACACTGTTGAGGGAAAACAGCAACATATTACTAAAAAGTCAACAAAGGAAAATATTGCTCCACACTTGGACACAAAATCAACCACATGCAGCAGATGATCATTGTCCCAGCTTATCCTCAAGATTTCCCAAGAGCAGAAAAGGATATACTTTATATTACTGTCGAGTCCCTTTACTCCACATACAAACTTAAATTTCTCAAAACCCCAGGAAGCAACTCATGAAAAATTGTGGATATGCTGTTTTGCGCTTACCCTTGGTATATTTTGTTGTTTCTTTGACAGAAAACACTTTGCACAAATGCAGCCACAATGGAGAAAGGGGAATAAATGAAAGAAACCCAAAGCATCCATGATACGAAATCCTTGATCCTTGTAGTCTTTGGTTATATGAGCTCCCTAGCTACGTCAAAGATTATACCGAAATA